TGGTAGTATTGTTATCACATGATCAAAGTTTGAGTTTGATCGTACCAATTTTCTGGGTGCCGTTACAGTGTACACATGACCACTCCGCTAGCAGTGTGAACCAAGGAGAACCAAAGAGCAGTGATCCGAATCTGCAGAAAACATGCTACCTCATCGATGATAACTCTCCGTTCGCCATTATCATCCCTTGAGTTTGCTGAATCTTCTCTTCCGTGGTTAAGTTGAGAGACGCCCTGCTCCATCTGTTGCTGAGGAAAAAGTTCAATGAAAGAACTGCCTTCAGGGAGATCGAAGATAAAATTTATGCGTTGCATCTAAATTTTCGAAATCGTAGTTTGTACGAGAAGCATGACAACAGAAGAAAAGAAAACCTAGACATGGAATCACAAGTCCTACCAGAATTCATTATTAGCGGTAACAATCTTAACAACATTAAATATACAGATGACACAGTGTTGGTAACAGATATAGAAAGGTAGCTACAAGGTTTCATACAGAATATAATTAAGGAAAGTGCAATGAAAGGGTAAAATACCAATTGCAAGACGACAGAATGTATGATTGTTAGTTAAAGGAACAGACCAATTTTCAAATTACAACTTGGAGAAACCAAAATCAAACAAGAACAACAATTTAATTAACTCGGAAGTGTTTTAACAGAGGTCACATAGTGCAACACTGAAATCCGTGGTCGCATTAAGATAGCTGTGGATGCCTCCCAAAAGCAAAGTATTACGAAACAGAAAAAATAGTAAGAAAGAAAGAAAATTATACTGAACTGTTATATAATATCAGTCCTCTTATATGGCAGTGAATGCTGGACAATCTCCCTACAGGTGAAGAAGAGACTTGAAGTAACAGAAACAAAGAAAAGATTACTGAATTGTTACGTAATATCAATCATCTTATATGGCAGTGAATGCTGGACAATCTCCTCACAGATGAAGAAGAGACTTGAAGCAACAGAAACAAAGAAAAGAGTACTGAATCGTTACGTAATATCAATCCTCTTATATGGCAGTGAATGCTGGACAATCTCACAGATGAAGAAGAGACTTGTCGCAACAGAAACAAAGAAAAGAATACTGAATTGTTACGTAATATCAATCCTCTTATATGGCAGTGAATGCTGGACAATCTCGTCACAGATGAAGAAGTGACTTGAAGCAACAGAAACAAAGAAAAGAGTACTGAATTGTTACGTAATATCAATCCTCTTATATGGCAGTGAATGCTGGACAATCTCCTCACAGATGAAGAAGAGACTTGCAGCAACAGAAACAAAGAAAAGAATACTGAATTGTTACGTAATATCAATCCTCTTATATGGCAGTGAATGCTGGACACGAAGCAACAGAAATATGTTTTACAGAAAGATGCTGAGAATATCAGGGACCAAATATGCAAGCAACGACGTAGTTTCAGAGAAAATCGAAAGAAGTAAGAAACTTAAACTTAACATCAAGCAGGGGCAAATGGAATTTCTAGGGAACATAATGACGAAAGAGTACTTCGAAGCTTTGACACTCACAAGACGGACTTAAGGCAAGCGGTAGAGATGACAAAAACAAAACAAAAAACGCAAACCTAGCAAATGAGCTTGAGAAAATGGATAGCAGATCAAGGTTTTGGAGAGATAACAGAAAGGTAATATTTATAAAAAATTGCAAAGGACAGGAAAATGTGGAGAGCCATAATCGTCTGCTTCCTGAAGAGACACTTCATATAGAAGAAGATATTTTATTATTATACATTACTTTAAACCACTTCACCCCAAGTAAGGCAATAAAGTCTCTAAGTGGTTATTGAGTGTGAAATAAAATAAGAAAAACAACTTACATTATTAAGAAGAGACAACAATAAAAGAACAGAAGAATAGTTAACGATTGACATTGCATTTAAATTTTTCAAGGTCACAAGAAATCGGAAGGTAGTTCCACAAACGGGAAGTTCGAGTAAAGAAAATCTTAGCATAGACTTGATATATATATATATATATATATATGTGTGTGTGTGTGTGTGTGTATTTATGTATGTATGTATCCATGTAAAATGATAACCAATAGAGTTCAATTCCGGTGTTCGTAACTCTCATTTTAAAACAGGTTTCAATACAAAAGTAGAGAATATTCTTTATTTTATTCTTTATTTTATTCTTTATATTATTTTATTTTATTCTTTATTTAGTATATATTTTGTATATATTTAGTATATATTTAGTATATATTTAGTATATATTTAGTATTTATTTATTTATTTAGCATATTTATTTATTTAGCATATTTATTTATTTAGCATATATTTAGTATATATTTAGTATATATTTAGTATTTATTTATTTATTTAGCATATTTATTTATTTAGCATATTTATTTATTTAGTATATATTTAGTATATATTTAGTATATATTTAGTATTTATTTATTTATTTAGCATATTTATTTATTTAGCATATTTATTTATTTAGCATATATTTAGTATATATTTAGTATATATTTAG